AAAATGATAGCGAGTCAACTTCCATAGTTCTTTCTTTGGATGCGGATAGCATTTTCCATCACAAGGCCTCTGGAGATGTCTTAGGTCCTTGTAATGCTGAAAAGGGTTAGTTTATCAATATTAATCATCACACAATGTGGCTGTTATTGTGTACAAAGTTATCTTGGTTCTGCTCACTTCACTCAGCATCAGACCACATGAGTCTTTCCAGGTTTTTCTGAAGTCAGCCTGTTCATCATTTCTTATAGCACGATAGTATTCCATTACATTCATATACCACAGCTTGCTTAGCCATTCCCCAATTGATGGGCATCCTCTCAATTTCCAATTCTTTGCCCCCACAAAAAGAGCTGCTATGAATATTTTTGTATTAAATTGTATTATAAAGCAGCAATCATCAAAACTGCTTTGGTACTGGCTAAGAAATAGAGTAGTGGATCAGTAGAATAGGTTAAATATACAAGACACAGTAATCAATGACTATAGTAGTCTCTTATTTGATAAATTCAAAGACCCCAGCTTCTGGGATAAGAACCCACTCTTTGAAAAAAACTGCTGGGAAAACTGGAAAACAGTATGGCAGAAACTAGGCATAGACCCAAATCTCACACCATATACCAAAATAAAGTCAAAATGGGTTCATGACTTAGATATAAAGGCTGATACTATAAGTAAACTGGCAGAACAAGGAATAGTTTACCTATCAGATCTATGGAGAACAGAAGAATTCATAATCAAACAGGAGATAGAGAACATTATGAAAAGCAAAATGGATAATTTTGATTACATTAAATTGGCAAGTTTTTGCACAAACAAAGCCAATGCAACTAAGATTAGAAGGAAGGTAGAAAATTCAGAAAGAATTTTTACAACCATTGTCTCTGATAAGGGCCTCATTTCTAAAATATATAGAGAATTAAGACAAATTTATAAGAACACAAGCCATTCCCAAATTGATAAATGGTCAAAGGATATGAACAGACAGTTCTCAGATGAAGAAATAAGAGCCATCTATAGTCATACAAAAAATGCTCTAAATCATTATTGATTAGAGAAATGCAAATCAAAACAACTTACCACATCACACCTATCAGATTGGCCAACATGACAAAACAGGAAAATGATAAATGTTGGAGAAGATGTGGGAAAATTGGAACACCAATGCGTTGTTGGTGGAGTTGTGAAATCATCCAACTATTTTGGAGAATAATTTGGAATATGCCCAAAGGGCTATAAATATGTGCATAACCTTTGATCCAGCAATAGCACTTCTAGGGCTATATCCCAAAGAGATCATACAAATGGGAAAGGACCCACATGTACAAAAATATTCATAGCAGCTCATTCACATTTTTAATTACACTTTAAGAAAATTTTATATAGGATAAATATAGTTATTTTCTCCCATCAGCATTGTATCTGGTATATATATATAGATATATATAGATATTTTTGAGCAACCAATTCACATTTATTTATTAAATACTTATGTGACAAGTGCTATATTAGGCGTCAGGGATTTAGAGAGAAAGATTGAAACTACCTAATCAAAAGGAGATTTTGTTGTATCCTCCATTTTCTCTTTCAAGGAGACAAGCATTTTTGTAAAGAAAATATCATTGAAAATTATTTTATAAAATTTGAAACCACAGAATTTTTTTAAAAAGCCACTATTTATGCTAGCTTCAAAACTTTCTAATAATGTAGCTTTCTGTTCACTGAATTACTTCTCACTTGACTAAAGCCATCTATATACAGCAAAAAAGTTAAGTAAGACATTTCATAATTACATGATCAATGTGGTCAGTTTCTACAGCCAAAACAGATAGATCATGCTCTAAAAAGGACCATTCCCCCAAGTACCATTTGTTTACATGTGCATTGATTAAATGTACCAGTTTTCAGGTTTAGAAGCAGGAGAATGTTTTTCTTTTTTTCTTCCTTCCTTTCTTTCTTTCTTTCTTTCTTTCTTTCTTTCTTTCTTTCTTTCTTTCTTTCTTTCTTTCTTTCTTTCTTTCTTTCTTTCTTTCTTCTTCCTTCCTTCCTTCCTTCCTCCTCCCTCCCTCCTCCCTCCCTTCCTTCCTTCCTTCCTTCCTTTCTTCTTCCTTTCTTCCTTTCTTTCTTTCTTTCTTTCTTTCTTTCTTTCTTTCTTTCTTTCTTTCTTTCTTTCTTTCTTTCTTTCTTTCTTTCTTTCTTTCTTTCTTTCTCTTTCCTTCCTTCCTTCTTTCTCCTCATCCTCCTCGTCCTCATCCTCTTCTTTCTCCTCCTCCCCCTCTCCCTTGGTCTCTTTCTTCTTTTCTTCTTCTTCTACTTCTTCTTCTTCTTCTCTTCTTCTTCTTCTTCTTCTTCTTCTTCTTCTTCTTCTTCTTCTTCTTCTTCTTTTTCTTCTTCTTCTCCTTCTCCTACTCCTCCACCTCCTTCCCCTCCTCCCCTCCTCTTCCTCTCTCACCTCTTCCTCCTCCAAACTCAAACCATTCACAATGAGCACCTATGAATAGCAAAATATCTGAAATTGTGGCATAGTATCTGCCCTATATTATTTCCATAACAAATTAGAAGAATTCTATAGAAGCAAAAGGAATTTGTAGTTAATATTAGATCCAAAATTCCTAATTAAAAAGAGTTAATATTATCTTACTTTCTTTGGCGCTATAGGAGAATCATGAAATCACACCATGAAAAAATACTCAAAAAAATTAGTCAATAACTTAGTTTTCAAAAGCTTTAGGTTTCATCAACCATCAAAGTTAATCAAGATTTTAAAGATTAGCAGATGAAAATCTGCCAATTTAGAATTAATTTAGAAAGTTCTTATTTTTCTGTGATGCTTTGAATATTGAAGTATTTTTAAGGAGAGAAAAGGTATAAACTAGCAAATTGAGTAACAGAGCAGTGTAATTAATGACACTACTCAGTAATCTTGAGACAACTATTTCAACAGAACTGAGAAATGCTGGCTACAGAGGAGGAAGAAAGAACATATTACTCAATAAAATTTTTTTAATATCAATATATTCAGAAAGTATTTTTAAACATGTATCCTAATTAATCTTTTGTTTAAAAAGTGTTACTTATGTTAAATGACATCTGTTATTTCTAAATGCTGAGCCATGTGTCCCCCCCTGTTTTTAATGACAATTGATATAAATTCACCTAAGGCTAGATTAACCATGTATACATAAAACATATGCAAATGTGTTCGTGTAATATATATGCATGTATGTACACACAAATATATGTTTGTATTGTGCGTGATATGTATATATATATATATATATATATATATATATATATATATATATATATATATATATATATGAACCAACATATGACAATTTCTATATTATTTAAGAGTACTATTTTTAAGTACCTTTCCATGATTACAAACATGGGAAATCTACACAAATTAGAAGAGTTTATAGATGTGGTCTTTAGAGTGGCAACTTGGGCAATTACTTTGTAATGACTCTCTTAACATTTACTTGCCCTCCATCCTGCTACCCTTACCCTCCCTCAGGTTACTGCTCATCCTTTACTAGTTTTATACAAAGAGGAAATAGATTTTTTTTTTGTCTTTACAAATCACCTATACCCTTACCCCCAGTGGGATATATTTTTTTTATATTCTAAAGGTCTAGTAAATATAGTGTTTGCAATATCAAGGTAGGGGTCTTAGTGTATTATATAATTTAGCTGTTTACCTATTTTTATCATCTAAATGTTGTTGTTTTCTGTTCCGACTTTGAAAGGAAAGTAAGATAACTTTTGCCGATGACCTTTATGAATAGGATTTTTATTTTTTTGGCTAGGCAAAAGGGTTAAGTGACTTACCCAAGGAAGAATTATTTATTTTTCAATAGGTAACATGGAGAGGTGCTGCTTTCACTGCTTGTTTGATAGAGTTTTGAATTTCTAGTAATGTAATTTTTTGAAGCCATGTTCAAGCAGTAAATTGTCAAATATTTCTTTATCCTTTTCCTGCTGATTGCTTTTTCTTTTTTTTATTGAGAGAAACAAGTTTTTTTTTTAAGTAGCTGCTTTTGATATACTGTTGGGCTATTTAGTAAGGGGATTAAAAAGTCAGAATAAATTATTATTGGTAATAATTTAAGCACAAGTCTTAAAGCAACCAATCTCTTTAAGTCATGATTTATTGTATTAAACATTGATACTATAAGATATGAAACAATCCAAAATTAAGAGCTATAGGAAAAATATTTTATGTTAATAGTAGTGGAAATTTTTTGTGAGAAGAAAGTTTAAGAAGCTTAATAAAGTTCTGTACCTGCAATATTTAAAATACTCTTCATAAAAGTTATCTTAGTTTTTATACATTAAAACAACGATTTAATGTATTTTCAAAGAAAAAAATAAACAAGAAAATAATGTAAAGCTAATTCTTCCAAAGTTCTGATTCTTTTTCATCTCTTTTAAAATGTATGGCAAAATTTTTAAGGATGTTACTTAGCACTTTGGCCTGTATAGTGTACTGCTGTTTATGTATGACCTTTGGACAAGTATCTTAACCTCTCAAGTTCTCAGTTTCCACATTATGAGTAAGAAGGGCTGGAATAGATGACCTCAGAAGTCCATTAAGGCTCTTAATCTAGGACCATAAATGAAAATTAGTTTAAATTACTATGATTAGATTAGTAAAAAAAAAAAATTATATCATTATGCTGCTAGATTTGTTGTGATAATTATCTTAAAACAGAAAAAGTTAACTAAAAAGCTTCCTAGTGAAAAAAGTGTATCTCTATACATATACCCCACAAATAAAACTATAGCTTAAAATTCAGCATACTCAAATATAGAGAAAACATGAACTTTCCAACAAACTGAATATATTTTCAATTTTTTTTTGTATTTTTCTTGTAACTAAGAAGGTTGATAATATTGTTTCAGGGAAATAGATTAATTTTTTTTAGGTTTCTTATCTTTTTTTCTGATTTGACTTTATTACCTTCTTTTGTTGTTAAATTATTTTTACTTTATTACAGTACATGGAGTTTGGGAGGAGTGGTCACCCTGGAGTTTGTGTTCATTTACATGTGGTCGAGGCCAAAGAACTAGGACACGATCATGTATACCTCCCCAGTATGGGGGAAGACCATGTGAGGGACCTGAAACTCATCATAAACCTTGCAATATTGCTCTTTGCCCAGGTAAGTGTAAACTGTGTATAGCATACTCTGTGGTACTTTGCATGAAATATTTATTGATATGAATATATCTTTTAAAAATGTTGTGCAAATGATTTACAACCTTTGTTTAGGTACATTGGAAAAAGTCTTGATGTCAAGATTGTTACCTTCTAGGAATACTTTCTTCATTTGTATCAAATGTGTTGATGATATTTACATTTTTCTCGTTTTATGTAACATTTTTATGAGGACCCATCCAATCCAATAAATATCAAGTATCTATTCTTTACTAGGAAAAAGACAGCATGATATGCTAGAATAACCTCACTGTCAAGAAATATAATAGAAATGAATGTTGAAAACTAAAAATAAAGAAATTATTTTTAAAAAAAGAAATATGGGTTCAAGTCCTGGTTGTATGTATAAGGAACTGTGGTCATTCCAAGAAATGCAATTCCTGCTCTCAAGTTTTTTTCACTATAGTAATAACAAGGGTAGCTAGGTGTCACAGTGGATAGAGTACTGGGCCTGGAGTCAGGAAGGCCTAAGTTCAAACTTGGCCTCATACGCTTGCTAGCTATTTAACCCTGTGAAAGTTGCTTAACTCTGTTTGTCTGTTTCCTCATCTGGAAAATTATCTGGAAAAGGAAATAGCAAACCATTCCAGTGTCTTTGCCAAGAAAATCCAAAAAAATGGGTCATGAAGAGTGGGACACAACTGAAAAACAACTAAACAACAAATAATAGCAAAGGGGTAGGGTTCAACATGATCAAGAGAAATATAAAATAGAATGTGATAAAGACAAAGCAATAACCTAGAATTAGAAATTTGAGAGTTCAATGTATATTAGTGACCATGTGGTACAACCAATCCAAGATATTGTAGCATACCCAATAAGTGATAGTCCAGTCTCCAAGGAAAAAGAAGCAACAGGTTTTGAGACAGGTTATTCAACTTTTTAAAAGCTAAATTTTAGGTTGAAAAGAATGCTGGGATGTAATAAATGTCATTGTTTAAAACCTATTAATGTACAGTTATATTTAAAATATAGTTATATAAATTAACTTATTTAATAAACCATATATTTTATTGAAAGATGGAATGGTGTAGTACTACAATGTTGAGCCTAAAGAAAGGAAGACCTGGAATTCAAACTATGCCTCTGACACCAGTGGTGTGATGGTAAAAAAGCAATTTAACTTTTCTGAGCCTCTGTTTACTCATGTATAAAATATAATAAGTACCTATCTCACAGAATTGTTATGGATCAAATTAAATCATGCATATTTAGCACAATGAAAACTTTTAGGTATTATTTAAATGCCAAGTACCATTATAGCAGGTAAGTGCCATAACAGGTAGAGTGCTAGACTTGGAGTCAGGAAGACCTGAAATCAAATCCTGCCTCAGACACTTACTATGTGACTCTGGGCAAATTACAATTTCTCAGATTCAGTTTCCTCATTTGTAAATGAGGATAATAGTAGCACCTCCCTCATAGGATTGTTGTGACACTCAGATGATATAAGTAAAGTGCTTTATAAACCTTAAAATGCTTATAAATACCGGCTATAATCATCATTACCACTACCACTACCAAAATGGCATTTTAATTTTCTATCCTTCTTAAATATGTCGTAGAAGCTATAAAAATCTTAGCACAAAAAAGAGTTTAAAATTTACCTACCCTCTTTCCTTGAGTTCACCATCTTTAGGTTTTTCTAGCAACCAGTGAAGCAGTCAATATCTAGATATCAGATGATTAATGAGGAGAAATAAGGTGAAGAGATTTATTTACCAGAAACAGGAAAATCATCCCCCTACATTCATGCAGATAGATTTTTCTCTTTCTATTACGGGGCTTCCCACACACATTTCCACAAATAGATGACCTTCAGCATCCTCTAAAATTCAATTCAAACATCATTTAAGTGCCTTCTACATAGTAAAACTACATAGATAAAATCAGACAACGAAGTCAAAATACTTTAAGATTGTCCCAACTGGTATTGACTTTCAGTTTCAATTATTTGGACTCTGATTGGCTTATTGTATTTCTTGTTTGTTGTGTACATAAGAATCGTAGAAAATTTAGTTTTCTCTTTTAAAGAATTTAGATTCGGGACTCATTTTCTCCAGTGAAGATTCTATTTACTTTCACCAAGACACTCCAACTGTTCAATATTAATTTTACACACATACACACAAAAGGTTTATGGAAAACATTAATTGATATGGTAGATAATAAATAAAATTCCTAATTTACAACAAAATCAGGAAGTATTCTCAGTTGCTAAAGGCTACTGGGTTTACTACAGAGAAATGTAGTTATGACAAATCAATAGGTCAACAATGAATATTACTATGAATAAAGCAATGCTGGGGATACAAAGAAATATTTAAAAAATTGTCTCTTCCCTCAAGAAGCTCACAATCTAATGTGGTAAACAGTATACAAACACAATTATATGCCAACAAGACATATACAGAATAAATTGGAGATAATCTCAAAAGGAAGACACTACCATTAAGAAGCATTAAGAAAGGTTTTTTGCAGGTGGAATTTTATCTGCAACTTGAAGGAAGCCAGTAAAGCCATGAAGCAGAGTCAAAGATGAAGAAAATTCCAAGTATAAAGGATAGCTGGTAAAAATACATACTCAAGAGATAGATTGTCTTACGTGAAGAACATCAAGGAAGCCAATGGCACTAGGTCACAGAATGTGTAGATGTGAGTAAGATACAAGATGATTGGGAAGATAGGAAGGAGCCAGGTTGTATATGGCTTTTACAAATGCATGATTTTCTATTTGATCCTGGAGGCAGCCAGAATCACTGGGATTGATTGAATAAAGGAGTAATGTAGTCACGAAATTAGAAAAAAAACACTTTGAAATCTGAATGGAGAACAAACTAGAACAGGGAGAGATTTAAAGGAGGAAGACCATCCAGAAGTGTATGACAGATGTTGCCTAGATTAAATGCTCTTATTTATAGTGAAAGTCATGCTTTCAGGTTAGAAAGCAATGAAAGATTCATCTTCAAGTTTCCCCAGAACACTCACTGAACTATGACTATAACTATGCCCCGAGAAGGTAACAAGTTAACCCCTAAACATCTTGAATGGTTATGCAGACTGGTGATAAGAGCAATATCAACATTGAGAAAAATGAAAAGAGATTCATGTTTATTTTCTCCTTTGGAAATGGTATATGGGGAGAAGTATTGAGAGGGAGTAGAAGTTTTATTCAAATAACCAAGTAATTCCTCTCTATCTTTATAGGACCAAAGAATGCATTAAAAAGCACTTATTAAATGCTTGCTGTATGTCAAACATTGTGCAAATCAAAAGAGCAGAAAAAGTCCTAATGTCAAAGAGCTTACTAGATCCATGGCCTCAAGGAATTTTATAGTGATTATAACGTACAAGTTATATAATATGGAAAGGAGAATGGTGGTCAAGGAGGAGCACTTTGGATCCAAACATTACTGGGATAGGAAGTAAGGCCACAATAAGTACACTGAAACAGCCCTTCTCAGAGAAATGGCATAGTTGATTGGATCATGGCTTCAGAAATAAAGTTACTAAAGAAATAAAGAGTTAATCAAGAATAGATATAATCTTCAATGTCAGAACTGCAACAATTATACATATATGTATATATACATGTATATATATACATGTATGTATGTATATACATATACATATATGTGTGTGTATAGATGTAGATGCAGATGTAGATATAGATATAGATATCATAGAGGAAAAAGCACTACCTTAAAACAATTTCCCACCCTGTGCTTTTCTTCACGAATATGAAATTATTTGTGTATAAATTCATACCTTTTGTTCCAAGTACTTATGTGTGTGTGTCTGTTTCCTCTACCAAATATTCAGTAAAGGCTCAAGTTTTCCTTTGTTTCTGAGAGGTAAATGCGTCTTCTCTTTCTTGTATTTCTCCCTCTCCTACAAATAGCTTTGATTACCACAGTATACAATAAATTCTCATTGATTGACAACATTTGATTCCTTCAATGTCTAGGTTTTTGTATGTACATATATATGCATATATATATATTATATATTTCTGATATGTTCGATTTTATAGCAGATTATCTGATTAGTTTTAACTGAATTCCTCCCTTAAGTTAATAAACTTTTGGCTAGAGTTTTTCTAGATAATTTTGTTTTTCTATTCCTATTCAACAAGTGCCATTTATGTATTCCACTATGTAGTATATATGTATGTATGTGTATATGCACACAGATATCTACACATATGTATGCGTATATATGTGTATGTATGTATGTATGTATATATATGTATGTGTGTATGTATATATAACGTATATCCGTATATAAGGTCATACATAAATTTATCTGAGGTTCAGTTCTTCAGAACAAATTAATTGCTGAAGTTTCATAAACCATTTAAATGCCTATTCTCCAAGGACCTTAATTCAAACCATAACACATTGCTGAAGCTGGAATATATTTTTTCTTTATTAGGTAAAAACAGAGCAGAGTCCATTATAGAGTGTGGGGTTTTATTTTTACTTCAATATTGCTTCCTTTTTCTTTGGCTTTTATAAATTGCCATCCTGATAAGCCTATAACAAATTAATAATCGTGTGTCTAATCTGTTGCCAATGACAATCAATTTCACCTTTATGACATCTCTCAAAAATTCCCCCTTCTCTCCTCTGTCACTGCCACCACTCTGGTGGAGGCTCTCATCATCTCATGCCTATACCATTGCAATAGCCTGTTGGTATATCAGCCTGCCTGAAGTCTCTCCCCATTTCAATACAGCCTGCATTCAGCCACCAAAGTGATTTTCCTAAAATGCAGGTCTGACCATGTCACCCCTATTCAGTAAACTCCAGTGATTCCCTATCACTTCCAGGATCAAATACAAAATCCTCTACTTTGCACTGAAAGCCCTTCATAATCTAGCTCTCTCTTACCTTTTCAGACTACTTATACCTTATTCCCCTCCATGTACTCTTTGATCAAGTG